TCACTTGGGTAAGGAAGCTTAGGATCCCAGTGTTACTGAGCTTGTAGCATTTGCTAGATTTGAACCAGGGGCTTCCTAGTTCACTGTATACAATGTAGGAGGTGCCGTGACTCAGTGGCAGAGCATCTGCTTGGCATGCAGAAGGTCCCAGGTTAAGTCCCCAACATCTCCAGTTCAGAAAGGACCAGGCAGGAGGTGATGGGAAAGACCTCCGCCTGAGGCCCTGGAGAGCCGCTGCCAGTCTGAGTAGGCAATACTAATTTTGATGGACGAAGGGTCTGATTTGGTATTAGGCAGCGTCATGTGTCAGAGACATCCAGGGGTTAGTTCCACAATTCACAGATCCTCGTACACAGGAGCAGGTGGTTTGCAGATGTTTGATGTGACTGGGAGGAGATTCAGTATAATGGAAGTTCGGAAGGGGGAAGGAACGTGTCCAAAGTCTGGGAGATCCAACGTTGCAGTACATGCTTTTGCATGGATGGATCTGCAAATTCCTTGTTTTTCAGTGTTCCCTCTGTTTGGATTGTGTTTGTTCTGTATTAGGGAAGGGCATGAACTGGCTCATTAACTAAAATTTGTCATGAATTTTGGGCAGTTTGTGGTTCACTAAGTGATGTCCATGAACTGAAGAACCGCCGTGAACTTCCACAAATTTTGATGCAGTTTGTGGCGGATTGTGAAGAGCAGAAAGCAGGGGTTTAATGGCGCAGATGTTATACCCCTGCTTTCTACTCTTCAAGAAAAACAGCTAAATTGCTGCTCCCCAGCGCTCAGCTGTTTGGAGCCATTTAAACCCCTGCTTTCTGCTCCCCGCGAAAAGCAGCGGGGAGCAGAAAGCAGGGGTCACGAACCCATAGGAACTGGTTCAGTTTGAGAACCAACCTCCTGGTTTATATAAGTTCGTGGTTCGGTTCGAACTGAACCGCAAAAATGTGATTCGTGCCCATCCCTATTCTATATTTCCTTAAAAAGTAAGCTGCTCTGCTCCCGAGCTGCTTCTCCTGTGCTTGTAGCGGCATTTGAGCACCTGGCTCAAGGGGCTTTGGGGGACAGATCCGGACGTCGCGCCAGAAGGGTGGTGGTGGTGGTGGTCAGGCCTACCCTCGTTCTGAGCCCGACTCTTTTTTTATTCCCTTTGCAGCGGCCAGTTTGCAATTGTGAAGAAGTGCCTGGAGAAGAGCACAGGGGCAGAATACGCCGCCAAGTTCATCAAGAAGCGCCAGAGCCGAGCCAGCCGCCGCGGGGTGAGGCGCGAGGAGATCGAGCGGGAGGTCAAGATCCTGCAGCAGATCCTCCACACCAACATCATCAAACTGCACGACGTCTACGAGAATAAGACGGACGTGGTCCTCATCCTCGAGCTGTGAGTGCCCGGCTCTGTTCTGGCCTCGCAAGACCAATTTGGGCCCCTGGACTTGGGAAGGGCTGTGGCACACCGGAAGACCCTCGGCCTTGCATGCAGAAGGTCGCAGATTCAACCCCTGGCACCTCCAGTAGAAAGGACCAGGCTGGAGGTAAAGACCTCAAGCCTGAGACCCTGGAGAGCAGCTGCCAGTCTGAGTAGACAATACTGACCTTGATGGACTCCTGGTCTGATTCGGTATAAGGCAGCTTCCTGTGTTCATGTGTTATAGGGGAGGGGCCGTGCCTCAGTGGTAGAGAAGGTCCCAGGTTCAATCCCCGGCTTCTCCAGTTAAGAAGGACCAGGCAGGAGGTGATGGGAAAGGCCTCCGCCTGAGACCCTGGAGAGCTGTCAAGAGGGGCTGTGGCTCAATGGAAGAGCATCTCCTTGGCACGCAGAAGATCCCAGGTTCAATCCCCGGCTTCTCCAGTTAAGAAGGACCAGGCAGTAGGTGACGGGAAAGACCTCCGCCTGGGACCTTGGAGAGCTGTAAAGAGGGGCTGTGGCTCAGTGGCAGAGCACCTGCTTGGCATGCAGAAGGGCCCAGGTTCAATCCCCGGCTTCTCCAGTTAAGAAGGACCAGGCAGTAGGTGATGGGAAAGACCTCCGCCTGGGACCTTGGAGAGCTGTCAAGAGGGGCCGTGGCTCAGTGGCAGAGCCTCTGCTTGGCATGCGGAAGGTCCCGGGTTCAATCCCTGGCATCTCCAGTTTAAAAAGGACCAGGGAGTCCATGATGGGAAAGACCTCCGCCTGAGAGACCCTGGGGAGCCAATGCCAGTCTGAGCAGACAAGACTGACCATGATGAACAGGATAGTCTTGATTCAGTAGAAGGCGCTTCATGGGTGTTCATGCGTGGGCCTGTCTTAGGTCCGTCAGGTTCCAGGCTGGCTGCTTGGGTTGGCCGCTGCTCTCCAGCCCAGAAAGTTCTTTCCCAACACTGGAGATCCTTTCGGTGGGCACTGCCAGGCATTGATCCCAGGACCTTTTGCATTGCAAAGCAGGTGCTCTCCTGCTAAACCACAGCCTCTCCCCTCCCTTCTGAAGAAGCGTGGAAGGTGGTAGTGGATGAAAAATTCCCTACTTCCTTTTAAAAATCCCTACTTCCACTGGCCCCACTGCTGGACCTCCTGAGGGCCCCTGGTATTTCTGGCCACTGTGTGACCCAGAGTGTTGGACTGGATGGGCCACTGGCCTGATCTAACATGGGCTTCTCTTGTGTTCTTCTGTTCTTAAAAGGAAACACACATCTTTCTAGCCTGTGAGGCTATGACAATAACGTTGCATTGCCTGCTGAAATCTCCAAAGCCAGAAGGGTGAGCTGAATAAATTTCCCTCAGGAAAGGCTCAGTGGCAGAGCGTCTGCTTGGTATGCAGGAGTTCCCAGGTTCAGTCCCCGGCAGCATCTCCAGTTAAAAAGCGTCAGGCAGCAGGTGACGTGAAAGACCTTTCTCTGCCTGATACCTTGGAGAGCAGCTGCCAGTCTGAGTAGACAATACCGACCTCGATGGACCAAGGGTGTGATTCGGTACAAGGCAGCCTCCTGTGTTCATGTCCGTGTGTTTGATAGCATCCCTGAGGTCGGGCACTCCGTTTCTTTCTCCCCACAATGAGCAAAATGTGAATCAGTCTATTAAAATAAGGGAACTGCATGTTCCTTTGTGCAGAAGTTGGAAAGCTTAGGCGTGGGATTTTGATGGGGTTTTTTTCCGCAGATGAGGGAAACCGAGACTGCAGAAGTGCCAGAGGGGGCCGCACTCCACACCTCCTCCTCCCCCTCCCTTTCCGCCAGAGGTTGTTTCTGGATGACCCCCTGGGGGGGTAGTCAGTGCCAGCTGCTGACTTCAGTACCTCACCCTCAGCCAGATGTGCAAAGCTGCTGATACCTGAGTCTGGCAGCCGGAGAGCTGGCTGGCGATTTGGGGGTCAGCGTTTTGCCCGCAGCCTTCCCGTTTGGCACCCTGGCTGTCAGCCGCCCTTTCCCGCAGCATCGATCCTTTGCGGGTGCTGAGTGACGGGGGCGGGACGGCCGTCTGGAAAGGTGCCAGGGAGTGTGGTCATTCGGGAGGCCAGTTCCCTCCCTCGCCCTGCCGGAATGCTGACCCGTCTCTCGGTCTGGCGGGGTCTCCTCCGGCCAAGGGCTGCGCCAACGTGCCGCTCGCTCTCCGTGTCCCCGGATCGTTGCTTCCTCTGCGAGTGCAGGATCCCGGGCCCTCTCCCACGCACCCCTCCAACAAAGAGACTCCTGGCTGGGTCAGATCTAACCACCTTCTCCTGCCACCCTCAAGCGGAGCTTTGTCGCCACAAAAATAAAGAGGAGTTCGGGGGCCACCACACAAAGTCCATGAAGATGGTTTTTAATCATACACAGGAATCAAGGTCAGTATTGTCCACTCAGACTGGCAGCCGCTCTCCAGGGCCTCAGGCGGAGGTCTTTCCCGTCACCTACTACCTGAATTTTTTACCGGAGACACCAGGGACTGAACCTGGGACCTTCTGCATGTGTAGCAGATACCCAACCAGTGAGCCAGGGCCCTTCCCTGAAGGTGGAAGGCAATGCACTCAGAGCAAGATGATACGTACAATAACACACACAAGCACGTGAAGCTGCCTTATACTGGATCAGAAACCCTTGGTCCATCAAGGTCAGTATTTGTCTACTCAGACTGGCAGCCGCTCTCCAGGGTCTCAGGCGGAGGTCTTTCTCCTCATCCCCTGCCTGGTCCTTTTAACTCGAGATGCTGGGAATTGAACCTGGGACCTTCTGCATGCCAAGCAGAGGCCCTTCTCTTATGATACATGAACACATGAAGCTGCCTTATACAGAATCAAATCCCTGGTCCATCAAGATCAGTATTGTCTACTCAGACCGGCAGCTGCTCTCCAGGGTCTCAGGTGGAGGCCTTTCCCATCACCCCCTGCCTGGTCCTTTTAGCTGGAGCTGAACCTCGGACCTTCTGCATGCCAAGCAGAGGCTCTGCCCCTGAGCCACGGCCCCTCCCTCTAGCATCAAGTTCTGTGGCTTAGAGCCCGTTCTGTGGGATGCATCTTTGTGGGCGCTAGGATGCGAAGGCTGATGGTTGAATGGAAACAGAGTGCTCCAAGATTCCTGTTTATTTTTTAATGTGAGTACCACTCTGGAGTTTGTGGCCATGGTAGTGAATGCCAAGGAGGTGGGTGGGTGGCCGTGAATCCGGTAAGCGAACTCTGGAGAAAGGCGGGTCTTCTGGACAATTAAACAATCTGGATTGGATCGGATTCTGGAATGGATGGGTTTTGCTTTGAGAGCGTGCGGGCTGGGGAGGGAAAGCCCTTGCGATGGCAAACACAACAGACCTTCCCCATGGACTGTTGAGGAGTGTTGAGCGCCACCCTGTGGCTGCCACGCTGTGCAACACAATGACTGCCGACTCCCAGGTGCTGTGAGGCAGCAACTGTTTTTTGAATGCTTGCAAACGGCAGTCACAAATCCGTGTGTAATGCTGGGTTATGCTTTACCAGGGCCCCTCCTGACCAGGCAGTAAAAAAGGGTCTTGCATCACCCAGGCAAAAGGCAGGTGATGGGGAATTCTTTCGGGGTTTGTTTTTTGTTTCTCTCAACCGAAGATTACGGGAAATGACAAAACACGTAACCCGTAAACAAAGCCGCGGGGCAAAACTCTGATCAGATCTTTTAAAAAAAAATCCTTAGAATGTTATACTTGCCATTGTTATCATAAAAGCCAAAGCAAGACTACCGTGGGCAGTAACGAAAACCAATCCACAAAATGTGGATTAGAAAGTGCAAAACATATAAAGTCCAATAAAGTACGATAAAGTCACAATTTAAACATTCAAAAATGCATATAGATTCATAAAATGTTAGAGTTGGAAGGGACCTTGCAGGTCATCGAGTCCAACCCCCTGCACTCTGCAGGAGCAGAGCGGAAAGATAATAGCCCTAAGACATACCCGAAAGATGGCCGTCCAGCCTTCGCTTCAAAACGTCCAGCGAAGGAGCATCCACCCCCTCCCAAGGCAGACTGTTCCACTGCTCAACCACTCTTACAGTTAGGAAGTATTGCATATTGCACAGAAGAGTCCAAGTCCCTTCCAAAACAACCCATAGCGTGAATCAACGTGAATAAAGTTACGTGAGCAGTGTTACCTCTGAGTGAGTGTGAGCCAGCTCACAGTTCTTTAGCCTCCAGCTCACCCATTTTTTGTCTCCGCTCAGGACGGATATGGCTCCACAGAGCAAACTAATTTCTGCAGCAGCCAGATCGCCCGCTCACAACTTGAATGCCAGCAGCTCACAAAGCAGAATTTTTGCTCACAAGACTCCACCGCTTAGAGGGAGCATTGCTTGTGAGAATAAAGTGCTTGTGTGCATAGTTCTTGCCAATGCATCTCGCTTTGGTTTTGATCTTTTTCCGTGGTTCTCTCTGGTTGTATTGTTATCATAAAAGCAGCTGGTTTCTATCAGCTTCTGAAGTTCTCATCCAAGGAAAAGGGGGGGGGGAATGTTTTCTTTCCACCACTGAATCTTTCCTTGCTAAGAGGAATACATTAATCTTGAAGTCGGGTAGCCTGCCTCCCTTTCTGATGCCCGGGGGGGTTTGCCCCCTCCCTTCCCCCCCCCCCCTGATGGGGTGGGGCAAGGCAGGAGGCCCAGCACTCTCCCGCCAGCCCAAGCTGCTTTCTAGAAACTGCGGAAAGTGGATTTTTCAGGAGGGGCTCTCCGGTACAGCCCTGTGATGAAAGCAGAGCTCTCCTGAGGATTATTGCAGGAAATGAATCGGTCTGCACAGGGCGGTCCATCAGTGGGTCCCTGACTAAGAAGAAGAGATTGGATTTATACCCCGCCCTTCACTACCCGAAGGAGTCTCAGAGCGGCTCACAAACTCCTTTCCCTTCCCCTGCCCACAACAGACACCCTGTGAGGTCGGTGGGGCTGAGAGAGCTCTTGACAGAAACGGCTCTTTTTCCAGGACAGCTCTTGTCAGAACTACGGCTTGCCCAAGGTCATCCAGCAGCTGCAAGTGGAGGAGTGGGGAATCAAACCCGGTTCTCCCAGATTAGTGTCCGTGCACTTAACCACTACACTAGAGAAGCCGGACAGGAGACCAAGAAACGACAACGTTGCTCTCCTGGGAAATGGGTGCAACTTTGAAAGGAGGCACAGGGTTGCCTCCTTCAGTCTCACTCTTAAAGAAAGTGGGAACAGTCTGGACCAAGGTATTTTGGTACCTGAACTCGCAGCCGTACCGGAGCATCATCATCCACGAGGAGGGTCTCCTTCAGCAAGCCCAATTCAGCTGAATGGAATTTGTGCAAGAATTCCACTTAAACAGCACCTCATGTTTGCATGTAGATCAGGCCTGCAGAGGTCTCTCAGCGGCTACTAGGCAGGGCGACTAAAGGAGCCTCCACGTTCAGAGGCAGTCAGCCACTGAATCCCAGAGCCAGGAGGCAACGTCAGAGGAAGGCCTCGGCCTCTGTGCCCTGTTGCTGGCCCTCCAGAGGACCCGGTTGGCCACTCTTGGCCAGACAGGATGCTGGACGATGGACCCTCACTGGTCTGGTCTAGCAGGGCTCTTCTGAAGTTCATATGGACTTATGTTCTTTGACCCCCACATTCAGAGGTAGTCAGCCTCTGAATACCAATGTAAGGAGGCAGCGTAAGGGTTAGGCCTCTATGCTGTTTTTGTTGGCCTTCCTGGTTGGCTACTGTGTGAGACAGGATGCTGGACTAGATGGACCACCGGTCAGATCCAGCAGTGCTCTTCTGAGGTTCTTAAGGGATTACATCTTTGAAGAGTGCCACATTCAAGCCTTACCCGTGCCTTTGGAGTGCCCTCCCCTTTGAGACTCACCTGGCACCTTACCTCACTTTCCTTTAAGGGCCAAGCCAAATCGTTTCTTTTTATCCCGGCTTTTCACTGAGGGTCTGCTTCTAGCCTCTGTTTTATTATCCATTCACTAATACGCTGTTCAGTGCTGCTTTTGTGGCTGTTTTTATGCTTCTGGCTTGCTTTAATATTGATACATGCTATGCTTTTTCTCTGTGGTTCTTATTGCATTAGTTTTACCTTTTAGAGACACATCAGGTAGGTCTCTGGACCTACTTGAGGTCTCTGGAGAAGCAAAGATTACTGCAAAATGCTTGCCGTCACGGAGCTAGACCCAGATCTCCTTGTCTGTTTCTGCAGGGTATCCGGAGGAGAACTTTTTGATTTCCTGGCCCAGAAAGAGTCGTTGAGTGAGGAGGAAGCCACACAGTTTATCAAGCAGATCCTGGAGGGGGTCAGTTACCTGCACACCAAGAAAATTGCCCACTTTGACTTAAAGGTAAGTGGGGACTGAGCATCTGTCATGAGAGGCCATGGCTCAGTGGCAGAGCCTCTGCTTGGAAGGCAGAAGGTCCCTGGCTCAATCCCCGGCAGCATCTCCAGTTATACCATCAGGCAGTACGTAATGGGAAAGACCTCTGCCTGAGACCCTGGAGAGCTGTAAAGAGGGGATGTGGCTCAGTGGCAGAGCCTCTGCTTGGCATGCAGAAGGTCCCAGGTTTAGTCCCCACAGCTCCAGTTGAAAGGACCAGTCAGTAGGTGATGGGAAAGACCTTTGCCTGAGACCCTGGAGAGCCATAAAGAGGTGCTGTGGGTCAGTGGCAGAGCCTCTGCTTGGCAGGCTGAAGGTCCCCGGTTCAATCCCCGGCATCTCCAGTTAAAAGGGACCAGGCAGTGGCTGATGAGAAAGACCACCGCCTGAGACCCTGGAGAGCTGCTACCAGTCTTGAGTAGATGATACTGACCTTGATGAAACAGGGGTCTGATTCAGTATAAGACAGCTGGCTGTGTCCATAGCCCAATCGCTCGCTCACAACTTTAATGCCAGGAGCTCACAAGGTAGAATTTTTTGCTCGCGAGACTCCACAGCTTAGAGGGAGCATTGGACGTGGCCTGTGCTCTATGATTCTTCACTTGCTGGGACCTTCTGCATGCCCAGCAGACACTGTGCCTCTGAGCCATAGCCCCTCCCCAGAGTTTGCTGTGCAGTGGCACGATGGACACGCAGCTGAAAGAGTCCTCTTTCCTGTTTGCCGACAGGTGTGTCTCGTGTGCGATAAACACGGCCTCCAGAGATAAAACAAGGGCAGCTAATGTGGTTTGTGACCAGCTGCCCCCGGGGAGCAGTTTGTACATTCCCAGATGAAAGAATGGGAAAAGGTTCCGAACTACAGAGCGAATAAACAGGATTCTGGTGGCACATCAGCTTCCCAGGACTAGAGTCCCCTTCTTCTGAAATGGCCCTCTCATACCATAGCAGTTGGGGAGAGGCTGTGGCTCAGTGGAAGAGCATCGGCTTGGCATGCAGAAGGTCCCAGGTTCAATCCCCGGCATCTCCAGTTTAAAGGGACCAGGCAGGAGGTGATGGGAAAGACTTCCGCCTGAGACCCTGGAGAGCTGTCAAGAGGGGCTGTGGCTCAGTGGCAGAGCCTCTGCTTGGCATGCAGAAAGTCCCAGGTTCAATCTCAGGCCTCTCCAGTTAAAAGGACCAGGCAGGAGTTGATGGGAACGCCCTCCGCCTGAGACCCTGGAGAGCTGTGAAGAGAGGCTGTGGCTCAGTGGTAGAGGCTCTTGCTTGGCATGCAGAAGGTCCCAGGTTCAATCCCCGGCATCTCCAGTTTAAAGGGACCAGGCAGGAGGTGATGGGAAAGACCTCCGCCTGAGACCCTGGAGAGCTGTAATCAGGGGCTGTGGCTCAGTGGCAGAGCCTCTGCTTGGTAGGCAGAAGGTCCCTGGTTCAATCCCCGGCATCTGCAGATTTTTCTGCTGTATTGCTGTCTCTTTTGGTTGCGACTGCAGAGAGGGAACATGTTGTTTTAGCTCTCCCGGAGAGTCACAGGCCGCGTCTTTGTGGTGCACTGCTTAAACTTCATTGTGCCAGATCACCTTCGGCACCTGCTGGAAGGGTCTGGGGGCCCTGTCGCTGCTAAGCCTCCCACCCAAACGTTTATGCCAGCAAACAGGACACGCGTGCCGTCGTGTGCAATTTCACATGGTTGTTATGTCTCCTTTTCCCTGTTTCCCGCTCTTTCAGCCCGAGAACATCATGCTGCTGGACAAGAATATCCCAATCCCGCACATAAAACTGATCGACTTCGGTCTGGCCCACGAAATAGAAGATGGAGTCGAATTCAAAAACATTTTCGGAACGCCGGAATTTGTCGGTGAGCCCTTTGTTGCTCTCTTATTCTTGATGCTGGTTTAATAGGGTGTGAGAGGCCACCTGAATATCACGGCTCTGACCAGCAGAATTAAAATATTAAAACCATAGCAGCTGTTCTTGTTAGAGAAAATCAGGGGCAGGTCTCCACCCTTTGTCCCTCAAAGTACCAGGCATATTTAACTCTGAAAAATGCATGTGGACCCCATGGAGAAGCGCTGCGGTGGGCCCAGAAAGAGTTAACTCCCCCCAACCCATTTCCCTGATCCAAATGCCCCTTCCGGTGCTCCCTCTAAGCTGGGTTAGTGTGAGCTGGCTCACAGTTCTTTAGCCTCTGGCTCACACATTTTTTGTCTCAGCTCAGGAAGGATGGGGCTCCGGAGCAAACTAATTTATGCAGCAGCCAAATTGCTCGCTCACAACTTTCATGCCATCTAGGCTCACAAAGCGGAATCTTTGCTCACAGGACTTCCGCAGCTTAGAGGGAGCCTTGGTCGTGGGAGGTCCGTGTTGGTGGGATGGCACGGACCGGGCTCACGGACCACAAACTGGGCCCTGGTCTGTGGAAAAATTAGGTCCATAGCCCGGTCTGTGCCCATCCCTAGGTAGGGTTACCTCCCCAGCCAGGACATTCCTTCTTTTTGCTTCCCGCATGCAATGATTGTGCACCAGGAGTGAGCCGGATCTACCACTGATTGCCCATCTAGAGATGGGCACGATGCCTCCCTCTATGCTGTGGAGTCCTGTGAGCAAAATCTCTACTTTGTGAGTTACTGGGCATTAAAAGTTGTGAGAGAGCAATTTGGCTGTTGCATCAATCAGTTTGCTCTGGAGCCATCCTCCCTGAGCTGAGACAAAATCATGTGAGCCGGAGGCTAAAAGACTGTGAGCTAGCTCACGCTAACTCAGCTTAGAGGGAACACTGCTTGTAAGCAATGCCTCCCTCTAAGCTGTGGAGTCTTGTGAGCAAAAATTCTACTTTGTTCGCTCCTGGCATTAAAGTGGTGAGCGAGCGATTTGGCTGCTGCATATAATAAGTTTGCTCTGGAGTCGTCCTTCCCGAGCGAAGGCAAAAATGTGTGAGCCGGAGGCTAAAGAACTGTGAGCTAGCTCACACAAACTCAGCTGAGAGGGAACACTGCTCTGGATTCCACATGAGGTTCATCCCTACCCTGAGAACCCCTGGGATGCTGAAGATGCGGCAGCTCAGAGCAAACCTCTTTACCTTCCTATGCACACAAGCTCATGGACAGACACAGCTCTAAGCCGTGTTTTGTGTTTCTCCAAATGAGACACCTGCAAAGTTCAGGGCAAAACAGAGAAAGGGGGCGAAGCCACGGCCGGCGCTTCTCTGTTGACAGCTCGTGCTGTGGCCAGGTCCCGGAGACATCCCTCGCAAACTGGCTGCAGCCAAAGGCAGGCGGTCTCTGCTGGCTCCGCTGACGCCAGCTCCGGAATCTTCTGGGTAGGAGGCGAAGGAGTGATCGCTCTAATGTTGATGGCCATAAAAGCAACGGCGGGCAGTGCGGCAAAGTGCAAGATGAACCCAGAGTCTGGGATGTGTTGATGTGAACCTGGACGCGGGAATTTCATCTTGCCAGCTCGGTCCCGTCTGCTCAGACTTGCTCTGGCTTTCCAGACCTCAGGAAAGGAAGGCGGTCTCCCAGCCGTGTTCCCTGAGATCCTTTTCCCTGCTTGGTATTGAACCTGGGACCTTCGGGGACTCAGCACAGCCCCTGAGAATGTGGGGGGGAGGGAGGATTTTGGATGTGGGCTCGACCCTGGGTAGCCTCTGGCCTTCAGGTGCCATAAATATCTTGCTCGGGTCCATTGGGTGTTGCTGGTGTCTGCAAAAAACAAACAAACCCTCTGCTTCTTTCAGCACCGGAAATTGTGAACTACGAACCTCTTGGGCTGCCGGCAGACATGTGGTGAGTTTCACTCTTCCTGTTCTCAGACGGCCAGATTGTCCAAGCTTCAAATAATAATCCCCCATCCTCCAGATTTTATTAAACAGGAGTCCAGCACAGGCCTGTAGCTACAGTGGGGCTTAGGGGGCTCAGCCCCCTTTCTTAAAGGCACATCCCCACAGGCATTTCTCCTGTAAATGCTTTTTCCCAATCATTTTAAAACATTGTTTTAAAGGCATGCGCTCCTTTAAGCAGAGTGGAGTGCTGTAGTTGACTAATTCCCACACTGAGCAAGGGGGTTAGAGTAGGTGACCTCTAGGACCCCTTCTCTGTGTCAACAAACTGGTCTCCTTGAAGAGAGTTTTCCTGCCTAAGTGTTAGCTTTCTTGACTACAGAAGTCATCACCCCCCACCTGCCAGCTTGTTCTCAGAATGGTTGCTTAGGCTGGCAGACGTGATTAACTTGCAGCAGCTGAGAACTGTCATCTAAAGTGGCTGACAGCTTGCAATTTAGGGATCTATCCTGGTAACAGCTTTCTATTGGCTAAATTGTTAAGAACACCTATGTAGAATAGACAGCTTGAGAAGACTCAGAGAGAGAAGAGGCTGCCTCGAAGGTCTCTTCGATTTCTACCCTGCTGCTATGAAGTGAGTAGGATAGCCAGATAGGTTTTTTGGTTTGGTTTGGTTTGCATTCCTTGCTGAACTATATGCATTCTTTCCCCTATTGATGTGTTGTTTGTCCTTTGTTTCTGTAAAGTAAGTTTTGTGTGTTTTTATACAAACTGGAGTGAGCTTAGTGGCCAAACCCAGATAAGTATTTCCAGTGCCACGTCTACCATCTACCATTTACCCCCCCCTCCCTTTCTCAGCCTGCAATTGTCACACTCCGGGGCAAAAATATAGAAGCCTCCATGCTTTGCTTTTAAAAGGCTTGATTCCACAGTAGCTGAGTCACAATCGACAGAATTCTGGCTTTTCTTTCTGCCCTTGAGACCTCCAGCCCCACCAGGAAAACTTTTTGCCCCACCAGCCACAAAATCCTGGCTCCGGAACCGGTCCAGCGGGATCTTTAGAGACCAAGGACAGACTCCTTGTTGTCGTTTGCTGCTACGGATTAACAAGGAAAGCTCTAGGTTTTATTGCGTTTGAGGCAGGCCGGGCTCGACGTGAAACGCCGCCTTTCGTGTGTAGATACAAATAGATGCTGTATGCGTAGGGGTTGCCTGAAATGTGTGGGTTTGTTTTTTCTTTCAGGAGTATAGGAGTCATCACGTACATACTGTAAGTAGTCTGCTGGTTTGATTGTATACAGTGAACAATGGTCGGGAATTGCCGGTTTTCCCTCCCGGGATCCAGGGCAGCCCTCTGCGTTCTTGATGCTCCCCCACCCAGAGCCAGGGGCCTTCAGCAAACCGGTCTCACCCCCCAATTCAGCTGTGAGGGCTCTGGCCTGCCTCGCAGAGCCGTTGTGACTGAGGTTGCACAGTGAATTACTGTAAAGCTGCATACAAAATGCTGAGTATTGTTACCGATAGAGAATTGGGATCAGGCCCGCAGCCAGGATTTTGTAATTCGGGGAGATTTTAAATAAGTCGGGGGGCACTGACATCACAAAATGAAAAATAAAATGTAAATAAAAATTTAAAAACTCACGCTCACTTGGGGAAGGGGAGGCGGGGAAGCCAGTGTGGGTGCCAGAGAGCCAGTTTGGTGTAGTGGATGGGAGCGCGGACTCTGAACTGGGAGAACCAAGTTTGATTCCCGCCTCCTCCTCCCCATGCAGCCATCTGGGAGACCTTGGGTCAGTCACAAGTTCTCTCAGAGCTGTTCTCTCAAGGGCAGTCCTCGAAAGAGCTCTCTCAGCCACACCTACCTCACAGGGTGTCTGTGGTGGGGAGGGGAAGGAGTTTGTAAGCCACTCCGAGACTCCTTTGGGTAGTGAAAGGTGGGGTATAAATCCAATCTCCTCTTCTTCTCTGGTACAGGAATTAGAATGTAAGACTAGGATGTGAGGGGCCTGGGTTCAAGTTCCTGCTCTGCCATGAAGGTCACAGAGTGGGCCTTGGGCGAGTCGTACACCCCCAAGACACGACTAGGAAAGGGAGAACCACTTTGAGTTTCAGGGAGGAAGGACGGGGTAAACCTGCGTTAGACAAGTAGAAAGAACCCTAGGTCCCGGGCCACAGGCAATCCGCAAGTCTCGCTGGATTCCAGAATTATCCCAAAACAAGACCCGAGATGACTCCACCTCACTTCTGACACAAGGGGGCAAAGCAGAAGTCTCGATTTTAACCCAAAAGATCCCAACCAGGCCCATAACTACAGTGGGGCATTTTGGGGCCCTGCCCCCCGATTTCCTGCCAAGCCCCCTCAACATCCATCCAGGCCCCTCAACTCTCCGGTCTGGAAACTCCGGGCAGCCGTTTTGCCACCGATTTGTTTTGCTGTTGCCCTTTTGGGTCGCCAGCCGCACAGCCTGCCATTTCAGCTCCAAAGTCCGCGGGGGACTAGATCCCCCCGTTAGGGGCTCAGGGCAAGGCCGACTTCTGCTGGCTGTTCCCTTCACCGGGGGACCCTCCCCACCCCCTCCTCTTCCTTGGTCCATCCCAGGCTGAGCGGGGCGTCACCGTTCCTCGGCGAGACCAAGCAGGAAACGCTGGCCAACATCACCGCCGTGAGCTACGACTTTGACGAGGAGTTCTTCAGCCAAACCAGCGACCTCGCCAAAGATTTCATACGAAAGCTCCTGGTGAAAGATACGCGGTAAGCGCCCCCGGTGTGAACCTGCAGTGTGCGGAGTCAGGCCGGACGGTCCTGCAAGTTCAGAGTGGCTTTCTGGTCGAGGACGCTCCCCACCCTTTAGACCTCCCCCAAACTCTGCAAAAGTGTTCAAGAGGGCTTTTCTGCAACCCCAGTAGGGTTGTTGTTCAGTTGCACAGTCGAGTCCGACTCTTCGCGACCCCATGGACCACGTCACGCCAGGCCCTCCTTTCCTCCATCATCCTCTGTAGTTTGCTCAATCTCATGTCCGTTGCCTCGACAACACTGTCTGACCATCTCATTCTTTGCCACTTTCAGGGTCTTTAATCAGGTTACGCAAAACAGGGCTTCATGAGAAGATAACTGTTTATTGGTAAATCCAGTACTAGAGACACATATACAGCTTGTGTCAGGAATGGCCGCCAATACTAGAGCCTCTGACTTATACTAGAATCATACCTCCCCCCTGTAAGCATGAGCCAATGGATATATCTCGCGCGCACGCGGGCAAAGCTAGCAGGCAAAGCAAAAGCCGTTACGTTAACTTTCCCAGCCGAGTAAAACTGCAGCTGGAGCATCTACAAGGTCAAGCATAAGATAGCAAACAGTTGGTGAGCCAGGGAGAGCTGAGACAGAAAACAGGAGGGCACCCCTCCACATTCCAGACCCATTACAGGGTTACCTTCTTCTTTGACCTTCAATCTTTCCCAGCATCAGGGTCTTCTCCAGAGCGTGCTCCCTTCTCACTTGGTGGACAAAGTATTTGAGCTTCAGCTTGAGTACCTGGCCTTCCAGGGAACAGTCAGGGTTGATTTCCTTTAGGATTGACTGATTCGATCTCCTTGCAGTCCAAGGGACTCTCAGGACTCTTCTCCAGCAATAGGGTAGCATTGTACAAAAAGCATCACAACGTTACTTGGATAAATGAATAGAGACTGTGGTCTCTACTGCTGTGTATAGCTTATTGCAAGTATGGTCCTGTCATGTAATGCTAGCATGCTTAATTTTAAAAATTTTAATTGAGTTTATTACAACATATATACAAAACAAGAACATATCAGTATTGTACAACCTTGTGATAAGTAAGATACTGGACACAGAGGATGCATCGAACATCATACAAAAATACATCTCTGACACAGAGGATGCATCGAACATCATACAAAAATACATCTCTGACATGTTGCATTAGAGAACTGGATCGTGGCACCAAATTTATATCAACCAACAATGCTTAATGTTTTGTGTTAATGCTTACGCTGTGCTTCAGGTCTTTCTGGTGGTTCCAGATCTGGACCTCTAAAATCCTGCCTTGCCTTGATAGTGTTTTCATTTTCTAGGAAGCGTCTGGCAATCCAAGAGGCGCTCACGCACCCCTGGATAACGGTAAGGCCGGGCATGGATTTTGTATGGGAAGGGGATTGCTGACGTTGGACAGAACTTTGTATGGCCTGTTGTATTTTGGCATTTAATTTGCTTCTGGGTACCTGGTTTTAACCAGGGTGGCAGCAACCGTCTGCTTTGATTTCCCACTGTTATAATCTTAGTGGAGTTACAGTTAGGCCAAATGGCTTTAGGAGCTTTGAAAAAAAGAAGCACGGTGAAAGAGGGGCTGTGGCTCAGTGGAAGAGCCTCTGCTTGGCATGCAGAAGGTCCCAAGTTCAATCCCCGGCATCTCCAGGTAAAAAGGACCAGGCAGGAGGTGATGGGAAAGACCTCTCTGCCTGAGAACATAAGAACATAAGAGAAGCCAATGTTGGATCAGGCCCATGGCCCATCCAGTCCAACACTCTGGGTCACACAGTGGCCAAAAATACCAGGGGCCATCAGGAGGTCCGGCAGTGGGGCCAGGACACCAGAAGCCCCCCCCCACTGTTGCCCCCCCCCAGGCACCAAGAATACAGAGCATCCCTTGCCCCAGACCGAGAGTTCCTGTCTATACCCTGTGGCTAATAGCCACTGATGGGCCTCTGCTCCAGATGGTTATCCAATTCCCTCTTGAAGCCATCTGTGCTTGTAGCTGCCACCACCTCCTGTGGCACTGTGAACTCCACGTGTGAATCACTCTTTGGGTGAAGAAGCACTTCCTTTTATCCGTTCTAACCCGATCGCTCAGCAATTTCATGGAGTGCTCCCGAGTTCTTGTATTGTGAGAAAGGGAGAAAAAGACGTCTTTCTCAACCTGCTCTATCCCGTGCATAATCTTGTAAACCTCGATCATGTCACCCCTCAGTCTTTATTTCTCCAAGCTAAAGAGCCCCAAGCGCTTTAACCTTTCTTCATAGGGAAAGTGTCCCAACCCTCTTATCATTCTAGTTGCACTTTTCTGCACTTTCCCCACTGCTATAATATCACTTTTGAGGTGTGGTGACCAGAACTGTACACAGTACTCCAAATGAGGTCGCACCATCGATTTATACAGGGGCATTATGATACTGGCTGATTTGTTTTCAATTCCCTTCCTAATAATCCCGAGCATAGCGTTGGCCTTTTTTACTGCAGTCGCACACTGAGACCCTGGAGAGCTGTAAGGAGGGGCTGTGGCTCAGCGGTAGAGCCTCTGCTTGGCATGCAGAAGGTCCCAGGTTCAATCCCCAGCATCTCCAGTTAAAAAGGGCCAGGCAGTAGGTGATGGGAAAGGCCTCTCTCTGCCTGAGACCCTGCAGGGCAGTGACCGATCTGAGTAGACAAATGCTGGCCTTCAGGGGTCTGTTTCAGTATGAGGCGGCTTCATGTGCGAAGCAAGCAGCGTTTGCTTTTTAAAATTATCTTTTTCTCTCGAAAAGGAGGGAAGTTTTAAAACTTGATGTTGAATACAAGCATACAGTTTTCTGTCTTGGAACGCCTCTTACTGTCGTGTCGCATCTGCCTGCTGTTTGTACCGAGCGTCGTTTCGTCGGAAGGCCACGCTCCGCTCTGATTCTCTCCTGCCCTTGCGCCATTCGCCATTCACTTCAAGGGCAGCAAAGAGAGAGAGAACTTCCCAGTGGACCGTGTCTCAGTTTGTTTGTGTGTGTTTGTGGTGGTCTGCTGTGTAGATGTTACAGTGGTGTCCAAATTTGGCTGACGTCGACATTCGGGTATGAACATTTCTGAAGTTTAGAGAAACGTTGTGAATTTCCAAGAAGTTACAAAGGACAGTGTTGAAACTCACCTAAACGGAGACTGTCAACCTTCTCCGATAGATCCAGGTGGCCAGCTGTGTTGGTATGAAGCAGTGGAACAAATTTAGAGTCCCTGTGGCACCTTTAAGACCAATGAAGTTTTATTCAAGGTATGAACTTTCGTGTGCAGGCACGCTTTTTCAAATATTTATTAAAGGTATGAGCTTTTGTGTGCATTCACACTTTTTCAAATATTTGAAAAAGTGTGCATGCAAACCAAAAAAGGTTTATTCAAGGTATGGGCTTTCGTGTGCAGGCACACTTTTTCAAATCCATTGGAACGGTAGGTAAGGTTCAAACGTATAGACGGACTGAACAGCAAATGAACACGTAACATGATGAAGATATTTTAAGATATGCAAAGACAAAACTAAAGAACAAGCTCAGGTTATAAGGTCAACAGTTGTAAAGCAATAAATATGTCAAAATAGCAGATAAATGTGTAAAGGTGTCTTTTCTAATTGTGGGAAGTAAACTGAGACTCTCTATTCTCTGCTCTCAGGTGTGGAGGTCACTTAACAGCATTTTTTTTTCTTTTTTGAGGTGGATGCAGTAAAACATCCCAATATATCCCTTGCATTACATTGTTATGCTGCATCCACCTCAAAAAAGAAAAAAAATGCTGTTACGTGACCTTATTGCTTTACAACTGTTGACCTTATAACCTGAGCTTGTTCTTTAGTTTTGTCTTTGCACATCTTCATCATGTAACCGCTATAAGTTTGAACCTTACCTACCATTCCAGAGTATCTGAAAAAGTGTGCCTGCACACGGAAGCTCACACCTTGAATAAACCTTTGTTGGTCTTAAAGGTGCCCCGCTGGGCTCTGAATTTGTCCTACCATTCTCCGATGTCATGCTCGATCGGAGTCCAGCAGGGCCTTAGAGACCAACATAACCTTCAGGGTATGACCTTTCGAGAGTCAAAAGTCCCTTGGTCAGATGAAGGGCGCTTTAAACCCTTGAAAGCTCATTCCTCGAAAAACTTGTTGGTCTCGAAGGTGCGGCTGGACTCATATCCAGCTGTTCTGCTGCAGAGCAACACAGCGCCACTCTGAAACTATCCCCATTCACCAATGTGGATCCCACAAGTGGGGAAGGACATTTATTCTTGGATATCGATGGGGATTTCAGCAGCATTAACCTGTGAGTCACCGAAGTTTTGGCATTCACTGCAACACGGAACCTACTGAATGCACATTGAGGCTTCACAAGCAGAATGCTGGCGTTGACATGTTCTCGTATGTTTAAAACGCAAACTGCTTGAGCTAGGCCCGTAGCCAGGATCTTGTGGCTTGTGGGGTACATTTTTTCCCAGTGAGGCTGAAGTTCTCAGTGCAGAAAGAAAGGCCATTTGGCCAATAGAAAGCTGTTGCCGGGATAGATCTCTGAACTGCAAGCTGCCAAACACTTTGGATGACAGTTCTCAGCTGCTGCAAGTTAATCTCTTCTGCCAGCCTAAGCAACAGTTCTGAGAACAAGCTGGCAGGTGGGAGGGAGGACTTCTGCAGTCAAGAAAGCTAACGATTAGGCAGAAAAACTCGCTTCAAGGAGACCAGTTTCTTGACAGAGTTAGAAGGGATCCTAGAGGTCACCTACTCCAACCCGATTGCTCAGTGCGGGAATTAGTCAACTACAGCACCCCACTCTGCTTAAAGGAACGTACACCTTTAAAAAATCGTTTTAAATGATTGGGGAAAAAGAAAGGGGGCAGAGCCCCCCAAAGCCACACCATAGCTACAGGCCTGGCTCAAGCGTGTATTCCTGATTATTTTGAGAATGTGAAGGCCCAGATGCTAGCATGTCGTTTGTCTCTCTGGGGATGCTGTTGTTGCGTTCACTCCTTGGTTATGCATGCATCGGGACCTTGTCTGTCCACACATCGTGGATCCGTTTGCCTGGCGTGGTGCCTTCGATGTTGTGGTGCCTGTCGAGACGTGTGACACTCCACCCAGTCAATAATAATGCCTCCTGCTTCTGTCTGAAGACTCACCAGTCCAAAGGAGGCAGCAAGGCCCATCTCAGCAAGCGGGCCGAGAACCGGCCGCTGAGGACCAAGCGGCTGAAGGAGTACACCCTCAAGTGCCACTCTAGCATGCCGCCGAACAAGACCTACATCAACTTCGAGCGCTTTGCCCGGGTGGTGGACGACCTCTCCGGGATGGAGCGGAGCTTCGGCGCCGTGGCCGCGTCCCACGATTCCTTGCAGGAGGATCTGGACGCGCTGGTCTCCATCTACGACGAGAAGGAGGCCTGGTACAAAGAGGAGCACGAGAGCGTGAGGCACGAGCTCTCCCAGCTGAAGTATGAGTACCGGAAGGTCGAGTCCCTCAAGAAGCACCTGCAGGAAGACATCCACGCCGTCGGGGCCAGCCTGGCCGGCGTCACGGGGAAGTACCTGGACCTGCAGTCCCAGTACGAGGCCCTGAGCAAGGAGGTCTCGGAGGAACTCAAGTGGCTTCAGGACTGGACTCGCACCTTGCAGCTAGACCCCGGGCCCGACAGCCTGGGCGGGTTCGTCCCTGCCTGCAACAGAGACCTCAGCGAGTCTCTGATGGAGCTCTTGAACAGATCCTGCTGTGAAGAATTCCTGGCTGCCTTGAATCTGGGGGTGGCAAAAGCAAGCCAGTGAGGCGGCCGGGGCCGGATCCTCGGAGCCGTGCGTTGCCTTTCGGGGCACGCCGTAGAAACCGCAAGATGAATACTGTGTACAAGTCGTCCACCTCGATTAATATATAATAATCTAAAATGGCAAAACTTTAAAATTACGACAAAATGGTACTTGACACCTTTACAGTTCTCTCGTATCACACACAACTCTGACTCCCTCTGTTGGAGGAAGTGTAAAGAGAATGGTACTTATATACACTGTTGGATGGAATGGCCTGGTTGTCACATCTTTTGGGGGTGTAATATTAGAGGAAATTAGATGTATAACTGGACATATCATAAATAAGAATCCAGAATCAGTACTCTTAAACCTTAGAAATGATGATCATCTATCCACTATTCAAAGAAAAAGAATTGCTTTACTGTTATTTGCCGCAAAAACAACTATAGCATCAAAGTGGAAATCAGGAAGTAAACCAACCTTAAACTTATGGTATAAGAAGCTATGGAATTTATATATAATGGAAAAAATATCAGACATAATGAAACCAACAAAAGCTAATGGCGGGTATAGTGAATTTACTAGTATGTGGCTACCTATTTTATCCTACCTAGTTTCTCAAGAGATAATACCAGAAGTAATAGATATTCTTCATTTGTGGTAAATGTTGATAATATGCTAATACTAAGTTTATGAAGACTAGGATGTTCTCTTTAAGCGGTTAAGTTGAAGTATACTTATCCTGTTTAATGTCGGTAATATTAGAAGTGTATTATTGTATTTATTATGACATCACAATCTTGCAACAACTTCCAGATTTGTTACATATATTCCATAAAGTCGCATAAAGACACAAGCGGCAAGCAAAGTACTGTGCATTCAGTGAGGCGTCCACTGTTGAACAGTGTTGCTACATACAAAGAAGTGAATCAAGTACCCAGGACCAGTTTGGTGTAGTGGTTAGGAGTGTGGACTCTAATCTGGGAGAACCGGGTTTGATTCCCCACTCCTCCTCCACATGCAGCTGCTGGTGTGACCTTACAAGTTCTTTCAGAGCTGTTCTCTCAGGAGCAGTTCTTGAGAGAGCTCTCTCAGCCCCACCTACCTCACAGGCAATGCTCCCTCTAAGCTGTGGAGTCTTGTGAGCAAACATTCTACTTTGTGGGCTACTGGCAAAATTGTGAGCGGGCCATTTGGTTGCTGTATAAATTAGTTTGCTCTGGAGCCACCCTTCCTGAGCTAAGGCAAAAATGCTTGAGCTGGAGGCTAAAAAACTGTGAGCTAGCTCACAGTAACTCAGCTTAGAGGGAGCATTGCTCACAGGGTGTCTGTTGTGGGGAGGGGAAGGGAAAGGAGATTGTAAGCCGCTCTGAGGCTCCTTCAGGTAGTGAAGGGCGGGGTAGAAATCCAGCCTCCTCCTCCTCTTCTTCTTCCCTTGCCACAAAATTTCATTCCATACAATCACAGAATCCACTCATAGATTAATAATGTGTCAAAAAGATCACTGACAAGATTCCCAGGTTTCTTTCTCATTGCGGACTGTCATCTTCAGAGTGCGTCAAAATCAGTAGGACATCTCCGTATCGCTGGAACCATAAACATTAATCCAGCCAGTTCTGTGCTTTATCAAGAAATAACAGTGTCTTTCCCCCTGGCGCAGTTGGCTTTGCTTGCCGTTCGTGTATTTATGTGATCTTACGGAATATAGGTCACAAACCTGGAAGCTGTTGCAAGGTTGTGATGTCATAACAAGAAATAACAATTTTAATGTAAAAACTGAAGTTTATCGTCTTTTCATTGAGGTGAACGACGTATACACAGTATTCATCTTGTGTTTTCTGCTTTCTGTACTGTGTCTCTTTATTTTTGTGAATACTCTATTGGGTCTCGCTGGCAGGACACGGGCATGACCGGGTTTCCGTCACAACTGTGAGAAGCTGGATGCAGGGAATGCGCTAAATTGGGTGCTAAAACTTGTTGTGGGCTTCGTTGATTTCTATTGCATTTGGTGATCCCTGTTAAAATTGGGGTTTTGTGACCCATGGAACGTATGTCCTCCTTTTCAGGGCCAATGTTATCCTGCCGTTGTTTGGTATTTAAACACTGGCTGCCTCTCATACAGGCCAACCTTGTGTGTTACCAGTTGACAGCGGAATGCGGTTCAATCGCAATAGTCTGGTCTCTCTAGGTATCACCCTGTTTGAGTTTCGGGGGGGGGATATCTTTGTGTTGAGAGCCAGTTTGGTGTCGTGGTTAAGTGCGCGGACTCTAATCTGGGAGAACCGGGTTCGATTCCTCACTCCTCCACTTGCACCTGGGTGGATGACCTTGGGCAAGCCGTAGGTCTGATAAGAGCTGTTCTTGAAAAAGAGCCATTTCTGTCAAGAGCTGTCTCAGCCCCACCCACCTCACAGGGTGCCTGTTGTGGGGAGGGGAAGGGAAAGGAGTTTGTAAGCCGCTCTGAGACTCCTCTGGGTAGTGAAGGGCGGGGTATAAATCCAATCTCCTCCTCCTCCTCTTCTTCTTCTTCTGAAGGCACAATCAATGTATGTTCACCCTTGGAAATTCCTTTTAAATTCTTGGCAGCAGTTAAGTGAGAGCACTTAAAAAGCTTTATGGCAGAGCGATTTTTGTCCTCTGAAATGGTCGGCCATAAGGAGGCATTGATTTTTGGATTATGAATCACTACGGAACATCACTTTTAATAACGCTTCGTGGAGGTGTGGGGCCGAGCCGTCCCAAGCAACACTCCCTCTAAGCTGTGGAGTCTCGTGAGCAAAACTTCTCCTTTGCGAGCTCCTGGCATTAAAGTCGTGAGCGAGGGATTTGGCTGCTGCATTAAATCAGTTTGCTCTGGGGAGCCATCCTTCCTGAGCCAAGACAAAAATGTGTGAGCTGGAGGCTAGAAAACTGTGAGCTAACTCACACTAACTCAGCTTAGAGGGAACACTGATCCCGGGCGCTCTTGTGAGCGGGACCTTTGCACTAAAAACCTGTGGGCATGTTGGGGGCGGAGAGTTTTGACGAAGGCGGCTCATACAGATGTCTTGGCAGAAGAGACGTGCAAAGCTGTGTCGAGAAACTTGATGTCATTCTTGTCCAAATCTGAGAGAGATGCTCCGGCCATGGAAGCAAACTGCTGCATCCTTACGTTGTGGAACGTGAAAATTGTTTCAAACACCGATGAACAGAAGGGGGGGGGATTAGTTCAGAATTAGGCCCCGTTTTTTGCCCCCGCGTCTGAAGAAGCTTGGTGCTTGGGCAGTGCTGATAATGTGCCCAGATGCACAACACATCTCACCTTTGTATACAGCCAATAAATATTTATTTAATGCCACCAGATTTCTCATGATGCCGTCAGTCCATTCGCTACCTCAGAGGCTGGCTGTGCAGTTGCTTCCTGCAATGTTCTCGCTTCCCTAAATTCTGCTGAACTGCTCTGACGAATAGGGCAGGAAGTGTCGTGGTCAGGGCTTTTTTTGTAGAAAAAGTCCAGCAGGAACTCATTAGCATAATAGGCCACACCCATTAGCAGAAACTCATTAGCATATTAAGCCACACCCCCATGTTACCAGAAGTGTGGTCATCCAGCCACACCCACCTTTTGCTTCTTATTCTGTTTACTTTGTTGTCAAAACCCTGGGCTTTTTTTGTAGCAGGAACTCCTTTGCACGTTAGGCCACACACCCCTAATGTAGCCAATCCTAATGAGTTCCTGCTGGGCGTGGCCAACTCGGGAGCCAGCCGGAACTCCGTTCCTGTGTGTTCCTGCCCAAAAATAGCCCTGGCTAGTGGTTAAATGTGCGGACTCTGATCTGGGAAGCCGGGTTTGATTCTCCATTCCTCCACTTGCAGCTGCTGGGTGACCTTGGGCAAGCCGTAGTTCTGTCAGAGCTGTTCTCTCAAGAGCAGTTTCTGTCAGAGCTCTCTCAGCCCCACCTACCTCGCAGGGTGTCTGTTGTGGGGGGGGGAAGGGAAAGGAGTTTGTAAACTGCTCTGAGACTCCTTCGGGTAGTGAAGGGCGGGGCATAAATCCAATCTCCTCTTCTTCTTTTACACCGAAACAAACGCTGCAGTTCAGCTTGTTGGGTTCGGCCGTCCCAGGGCCCAAAGCATGCTGTGGGTTCTTCCTCTGTTCTGAAGGGATGAGAGAAGAAGGGGGGGACAAGGAACCCCTTTTCAGGACAAATGGAGGGACCTTTTGCATAGGAGGACCTGAGCAGCAGAAAGACCCGGCTGAAGGCATATGAGGCGGCTGCGGCTGGGCCAGAATTTGGAACCCTTGTTTCCTCCTTCACAGAAGTGTTTCAAGATTTCCTGAGGGGTGCCTTCCCATCCTCTGGTTTCTCTCATCCGTTGAATAGAAATGACCTCCCCCCATGGCTTGAAGCTATTTTGGAACACGCCTCTTTGCTTGACTCAGGGCTGAATTTAAAAAGGAAGGTTTAGCCGGGCTCTGGGCCCATCAACAGGAAACATACAGGCCTGACATGCTGGTGGCCCTGTGGGAAGCAGCCAGGAGACCAGTTTCTCAACACAGAGTTAGAAGGGATCCTAGAGGTCACCTACTCCATCCCCTTTGCTCAGTGCGGGAATTAGTCAACTGCAGCACCCCACTCTGCTTAAAGGAGTGCACGCCTTTTAAAAAAATGTTTTAAAAATGACTGAAAAAGGCATTTACAGGAGAAATTCTTGAGGGGCTGTGTCTTAAAGAAAGGGGGCAGAGCCCCCCCCCCCGAGCCCCACCGTAGCCACGGGCCTGTGCTGGAGCAGAGGGAGGGCAAAAGAGGCAGAGTTGGTTCCAGGGCCAAGATCCTGCCTCCCATGGGGTGGAGTAGGAGGGGGCCTTCCCCCCACAGCTGTGGAGTGTCTCCTCTCTTGCTCGCGGGAGCCTCTCCAGCCTCTTAACTGGCCACGTGGGGTGTCGTCAGCTTGTGGCGCTGCCAAGTCCCTGTGCACTCATGGAGGCCCTATATCTGGATGGGGCCTGCAGGAGGAGAGGGTCGCCGGCCCTGGAAGCCTCCACGGGAAGTGTGGGGACAGTGGGGGTGAAGGCCAGCTTCCAGAGGCCAGCCGGAGAGGCTGTTTAGCAGAGAGGAAGAGAGAGAGAGAGAGAATGAAAAGCTGCCTTCCTTCCTCCTCTGCCGTGCAACCCAGACTTGCCTGGAGGAGGAAGCCAGCTCCACACGCCCTGCTCCCTCTAAGCTGTTGAGCCTTGTGAGCAAAAATTCAACTTTGTGAGCGGCCGCAATTAAAGATGCGAGCGAGCGGTTTGGCTACTGCCTACATTAGTTTGCCCTGGAGCCATCCTTCCTGAGCGAAGACAGAAATGTGTGAGCCGGAGGCTAAAAAACTGTAACTCAGCTTAGAGGGAACACTCTCCACACGGCTGTTTCAGACACATCTGTGTCTCCAACAAGGTTGCTCGTGCAGTTTCCAGATTTGGAAGCTGCACTTGGCGACTTCCAGCAAGTCCTGCTGCCGGCCAGGCAGGAGAGATTTCACGAGGACTGGCTTTTTCCCCCGGCTGCCAACCGGCCTGAAAACGACTGCCCGAGCAACGTGGGGGCAAGTGAGTGTACGGGAAATCTTGCAGACTGTTGGGGACTGACACATGAAGCCTGCTTTGGTGTGGCTTGTGACTTGTCCAAGCCAAATGCTGCATCTCCCTTTACTAGTTGGGAGTTCTGCTTTGATTTTGAGTTCCGTCCAGAAGGTTCCCCTCTGGCTGGATTTCTTGTTCATCTCCCTGAGCACCATGCTGGAAAAGATGCCATTCATGTCCTCCAACCAGAAATGCTCCATTGCCTTTGGCTATACCACCATCCTGCCTCTCTGTTATGCAGTGAAAATTCAATTGCAGGTTGCTGGTGGGTAGAAATAAGACTCTGGGGGAAGGCCTTTGCTGGTACCGTTAACCGTTCAGTGTACTGGTTAAGAGTGGCGGACTCTAATCTGGGAGAACCGGGTTTGATTCCCCACTCCTCCTCCGCGTGCAGCCA